AGTACTTCCCATATACTTAGATGTTGATTTGTCTCTTTCCTTCTCCATCTACATCCAAAGAGTTACCAGTTAATTCCTCCTTCACAGTTTCTGTCATAGCTAGCCTTCTTTTTCTTCCCTGTGTGTTTCCCAGAGTTATCCCTGGCTAGCTTCTTCCAATCAGAGACCACAAACTAATGTTCTTACCCCCGTTATGAGTTTCTGACTTGGCATCCACCTGCTTTTATCTTCTCATCTCCTTCTGCCTATTAAAATCCCATTTATCAAAACTCAGTTGAAATCCTCCCAATGTTATGAAGGACCACCTTGAAAAACCCCAAATTAGAAAAGACCTGCTCCTCTTTTAAATTCTTCTTGTACTTTCTGTCAATTCTAATGATTCTCAGTCACAAAAGTATAAAGATTGCATTCCAAAGTCAAACAAAGATTTGACAAACTGCTCTTCCATTCCATAGCATGGGGAGATAAGGAGCCAAGGCTAATTTTCCACCCTAAGTGAGAAAATTTCACCAGTGAAAGTGGAACTCATTAATGGGAAATGGGCTGCAACTTTGTCAATTTCAATTTCAATGTCTTGGCAGGTGTAGGGGAACACCAGTCAGATGGGGACCTGAATGAAAACGTTCCCATGTAGTCATTCAATGACATTTGAGGGTTTGCTGTGTACTAGGTGGGAAACAGGAGAACCACCGTCTCTTCTCAGGAACTCCACTGTAGATTCCACAGTCACAGTATGGGAACTGTACTATGGCAGTCTGTCAAAGATTCATGACGGCCATTATCAAATAAAAGTTTCCAAAAAGTCCCATGATTAAAAAGCAAACCAAATTATGTACGTAATATTATTTCTTTGGTTGATTTGGCCACAGAATCCCTCCCTTGATTCTTTGCTGGCAATATCTACTAAGATTCCTTACAACCAGAATGCTATAGAATATACCTTGGGAAATTCTGTGCAAGAGTAATTCAAATACTGAGAAGGAAATGCTGAGTGTTTGGGAGAAGAAAATACATACTTTGGAGATTTAAGTAGAGGGAAACTTTTTGAGAAGAAGACAACAGGAAACCCTATATAACACAGTGAGTACAAGTGGAGGGGAAAAATGTAGGGAGGGAAACATTCCAAAGGTTACAGTTAAGTGGTATTTCTTAGACTCTAAAATAACAGTCTAGAGAGTAGGAAGAAGTGGGAAAGAAAGGAAAAGTGATGCAACATTTCTCAGCCTCTCTGTTACTATTAAGACAATGYGGATATTATTATTATTACTAAGGAACTCTATACTTATTTTTTTCCACCTCTCAATCTTGAGAAAAAGAATCATGGACTRTTGTCTCATCTCCTCTTTGTGAAATTCAGGTCCTGGTTGTGTTTGCAGAAATCAAGTAATTTTGGTTACTACTGAGTGCAATCATGCTTAGAATGCATAGAGACCGTCACAGATTGATATCCCAAACTGATACTCAACCCCAGAATTAAATTTTATGTTAAGGTAGAAAGGTCAGGAAATAGAATTTGAAAATGAAATTAATATGTCAAAGGGACATCTGTACTTCTACATTAATTGAAGCATTAGTCACAATAGCCAAAACATGGAATCAGCCTGAGTATCCATCAACTGATGAATGGCAAAGAAAACATGATATACATACATAACAGAATACTATTCACCCGCAAAAGGATGAAATCCTGTCATTTGTGGCAATGTGATTGAAACCGAGGACATTATGTGAACTGACAGGCACAGAAAGTCAAATTCAGGAGGATCTCACTCATATGTGGAATGTAAAAAACTTCTCCTAGACGTTGAGGGTAAAATGGTGGTTACCAGAGGCTGTGATGGTAGTTGAGAGAGCTGGGATGCAGAAAAGCTGGTCATGGTACTAAGCTACAGTTATACTAAGCTACAGTTATAACAAGACGTTCCAGGACACTATTGCCCAATATGGTAACTATAGATTATGTATAATACAGTTCATAAAAGCTGGATGAAAGGATTTTGAATGTTTTCACCACCATAAAATGATAAATGGTTGTGGAGACAGATTGCTCACCCTTTTGGGAACGTTACACAATGAATATATGCATCAAAAACACACCATAAACCTGTCCAATTTTTATGTATTGAATAAATAAATAAAATATACTTTGACTGCATACTTAAAATGAAACAGTATGGTAATATTTAAAATTGTATGAACATCACATAAGACAAAGTTCACTGAAGAGTATGACAGAATGGTGCTGCCCTGTGACCTTACCTTGGCAGTCCTTATGTGGACTCAGGGGATGAGAACCACTAGGGACTAACTACATTGTCAAGATGTTACTCACAGGCTTGAAACAAAACAAAACAAACAAAACAAAACATAAATGCACTTTTCTCAAGTGCCTGAAATATTTCATSATAAGAAAAACAAAAAAAGTATTCCATTTAGCCTAAATGAGATTATTGAGTAAATGCCAGAATCCTCCAGAGCTGTGTGTGCAATACGGAACTGGCAGCATCTGTGTAATGTGAGAGTTTCAACTGCAACTGCTACTAATGAAAACAGGCAAACTCAGGAGACCAAGCCTCCTCGAGAATCTAGCCAAGCCCTGTCCTTCCTCATCTAGGATTTGCCAACCAAAAACTAAGTCAGCTGAGTTTCAGAGTGAGCAGCTCTCAAGTATATCTACTTTGGTAAAATTAACTGGTACAGAAAAATAACACAAAGAGCCAGAGTGAAAATCACATTTGAGTATAAAATGCTTTTTTAAACTTATAAATTATGTGACAGAAATTTATTAATGGAAACTTGTTCCATATTTTTGAACCTTTCTTATGTGAAATTCTATCTTATTTATTTA